TATTGAGTCTGTATGGCAATCATTAATTGATTACTAAATTAGTTGACAATTATTTCAAACTAGTGCATTGAATTTATTTTTTTTAAGTACTAAAGTTGTACAGTCCTACCATTAAAAAATCCCCAAATAGATGTGATTTTTATGCACATTATGACTATACTTAGCTATCATTTTCAGACATGAAATTCTTTCTGTTGACATGCTAAATAAATAGCTGGTTTCTAAGTACAACAAAATAAAAATAACTGCAAGTTTGAGCACTGAAAACAATTTTTAATCCTCTCTCAACGGGGATGCAAATCACTTCAACTGTTGCTCAATCTCAGCAGTTCTTCTTTGAGCTGCAGCTGCATCCAGCCCAGTTTCCTCAGCCGAATTTCTCAGTAATTTTAATAACCCTCGTGTTTGTTTAAAGCTAAAATTATCACCAGCTAGAACAGGCTGATGCTGCTTCCACATGGGAATCGCTTTACGGTGTCGCAGTCGTTTCATAACGAGACGACCTGCTGAGAGAGGAAGGAGCTTTTCACATTAATTCTGAATGCATCAAATGAAAACAAGAGGAAGTTTGATATGACGGCACGTCTTCTGTCCTAAAGAAAAATAAAACCCATGCATGCAATTAAGATTTTTTCATAACTGATATAATCTTATTTTTTTTAAATTTCACTTTCATTTCTGAAATGAAATTACAAATGTCTTTTGTCATTTTTTTCAATCATTTCTTCTGTGAGTTGTAAAACTGAGAATTAGGGTCAGGCTACGAATTATTTTTGCATAACTATGATGTAGTCACAATATTAGCAGAATAAAGGTGCAATTTTACCAGAGAATATCTTGAAATTTCAAGAAAATATTTTTTTCAATGAGAAAAGAAGCTTCTAGTTGTCCAGATCTAAAGGCTGAGTCTGTGTAATTTTTTAAAATAGACTCAGTTGTTTGCTCAACTGTTTCAATTAATTTGTTCCTGATTAGTTAAAATTGGAAGTACTACCTTATCCCTAAAACCGATACTGCAGCACAACTTCACAAGACGCTCAACATTCTTCATTTAAATAATTTTCACCAAAAATAAACAAAATATTAAATTCTTACTTCATTCTACAAGTATTACGACTTTATTCTGGTGATATTAACACTTTATTCTAGTATTATTTTGACTTTACTGTAGTTCGTCTTTAGTCTTGTACAATTGTATGTTTTAAGATTATGTCTTATTCTCACAAACAAAATGCTAAATTTCAAATGTTGGTCAAAAAGGTGGATCGATGCATCCCTAAACAAACCTCCATGTTGTTTCCTGGATTCATTTGAAAAAGAAACGGGTTCTTTTGCCCCGTTCTGCAGAACGGCACTGTGTATAGTCAACTTGTTTTTCCGATTTGTTTGTGTTCAATGAATACTCGAGATGTGCCGCCGCGCGCCCGAGGAAATAAAACCCATCCCAGCCACCAGAGATGGACAAACAGCAGGTTTTATCAAAGAATCTGCGTTTCCTTGAGGCTTCAATCGCCTGAACAGACACAGTCTAGCTGTCTTGTCGGCTCTTTTTGATGTTTCACTCACCGCTGTAAATCCTGCACAACCAGGTCAGGCAGTGACATTGCACGCCATTTGGGCCTTTTCAGTCAGACAGCATTCCTTCATTTCCAGTATGACCTTTATTTCCTCTCTGGCATTATAAAAGGACAACTCTCTGCCCTCTGGACATTAACAGTTCCACAGAAGGTCAACGACTTCACCAACGTGCAGTAAAGCAACACAATCTTCCAATCCCAATGAGATTAAAAGTTGAAAATCAAAAGGTTTGCATGTATAAAGAAAAGGTTACGTCTTTGAGGTTTTAACCCCTTCAGACCTGACGTCCATTGGAACGGACATGATACATTTCTGGGTGTAAACAAATAAAAAATAGGAATTTTTTCATTTGAGTGATTCATGCTACTGACTAATTACGTTACATTTAACTACTAGTAAATGTCACTAGTTACATTTACTCAATTAAATTTACTTGAGTATCTTTTTTGAAAAACAAAATTCTTTTAGGAGTATTTTACTGCACAGCACTTTTTCCTTTTATTTGAGTGCTTTTATTATGAACAAGGTTTTCCCCCAGAAAACATGCTAAGCCTGGTGGTTGGGGCGCTCGGCAGTCATTCATCCAACGGCCTGTCGTGTTTTTGAGTTAAAAAATGTCTAAAGTTGACAGGAAACCTGAAAATATCACTTGATAATTCCGTGTTATTGGAAGATTATTATCTGAACACCAAAGACACCTACAGTTTATATTAAAGTTTCAAAAGAAAGAAATAATTTGAGAAATTTTTTGGCAGGCTATTTTTTATTTTTATCTTAGTAAAAATATGTTGAAGTATCACTACTCTGACTTGAGTTTAATTTTTGGGATTCTGTCTGTGTGTGCCAGTAGTATCAGACATTGGCATCAGACAAGCATTGCTCTGAAACTAGGGAAGGGGAGGAGTAAGTGTCTATTTTACATTCAAATTTATAAATTTTACTTCATGGTAGCCTATTAAAATTGCTCTTGTAATTTTAAATATTTCCAGTGATAATATTTGAAGTTATTTCGAAACTATTTTCCATCATTAAATTGCGGGAGTTTTTTTCAAAGCTGATTGTCCATCCCAATGGACCAACATGCAAAGAAAAGTATCTGTAAACATTTTATAGCTTATTTGCAGGTCCACAAAGTCATTTTTCTTTATTTGTATGTTTTTATTAACACAAATGTTAGCTTTCTTGAACTGCTTGTAAAATAATAATTTCTTTTTATTTTAATGCTGAATTGGAGTGAGATTTTGGATTTTTTGTGCTCTGTTGATAAAAATCAGGTCTAAATTGAATGGCTGCAGGTTGTTTTCTGACACTACAAGAGATCTGAGAGGCCTTCCCAGCCTTTGAAACATAGGAAAATAATATTAGGCAAATGAGTAAGGAAGGAAACCCTCTACTCTCTCTGAAGCTCTAACAGCTGTTTCTGTGACGCCTGATGCATCAAACAGATGGGATATTTTCTGCAGCTCCTGTCATCCAGGACAGTGGGTCTTTTGGAATATAAATACATTTAAAAATTATTTGTTTTTCTGCTTCTATGTCACAATTATACAGTGTTTTGACAAAAAACGCAGTAAAATATAGTAAAATTGGTAGCTGCAAAGTCAGAAACGGTGAAAAAGTCCCAGAGTTCGAATACTTTGGAAAAACCCTTTGGGTTAGAGAATGTGTATACTTTGTTCATATTTTACCAATAACATTATAGTATTACTTCCTTTTTGAGCCAGTTCTGTTACAGTACATTGTTCCTGTTTTAAATTGTGGCTGGAAAAGGGGGATTTCTCTCTTATTCTGCGTTATTTTATACAGATTTGATTATATTCTGATCCTCTAATCACATTTTGATTAACTTTATCTGGTTCTTTGTGGTTTATTTTTATTCAATAAATAGAAAAAAACTACACTTTTTTGTGTTGCACAATTCTACTAAACGTTGTGGTAGATTCCAGCTCCCATATTCAAGCTCAAGTTGCCTGTTTTCTATGTTGTTCGCATGCTTTCTGTTACATTTCACAGCATAAAATTAATTACCAAGTTATGTGATTGATAGATTTTTTTCAGTTATTTTTAGATTTTTTAATGCAACTTGCAACAGAATACACAAAAATCCTGAAACTCAATTTGCAAGACACTGGACAAATGATTGAATAGAAAAAGGATTAGGAGGGTCACAAATGGGTACAAGAAGAGATTTAAAGAAACTTGGTGACAAAGATTTACTTAAGTTTAAGAGATAAATAAATACACAACAAGAGATTAAATACACCTTTGTTAGTTACATGCTACATCTAGCTCGGCCAAAAAGGGGAACAGACGTATTTTTTGCTTAACTTGTTCTGCAATCATCATGAACTGACTTAAGGGATGCAAATAATTATGGATTTTGAGTGAAGTAACAGTTTATTATCCACCTTGGGAATCTTGTGCAGGTTTTTGTCATGGGTAACTGGGTAGTGATCGGACAGAAAAGTAGCTAAAAAGCACCACCATGTCATGGTGTCAGATCAATACTGAAATGACAAATATTAGTCACTACCTACATTAATGCTACTGCTAATGCTAAATGTTTTACATTTTTTAATAATTGTCCTTCCACTTTTCCATAACACACTGCTTTGTGTTGGTCTATCAAATCAAATTTTAATAAAGCACAAATAAAGCTGCAGAGTGGGAATGTGTTTGGCTGTCTGGGGGGCCAGTAGAGGTCAGCCCACCCAAGGCACCATTCATGTCAGAACCGCCCCTGCTCTAGATTTGCTTGAGTGATGGAGTTGATGAGTTTCTGTTCTGCTGCAGCGCTAATATGACACACATCTTCAACTTTCACATGCTTACTATTTACTAAGCTTAATTTGAATAAACTCTAGCCTCGTAAAGCATCGCTCCTTTTAGCCCACACCAGTTGAGAGCTTTAAAAATCTCAACAAAAAAAATACTGTTTCCCACTCACATACCTTACAGTCTTAGCAACAAATCACTCCACACATGCAATCAGTGCAACTTCTGCAGGGGATTACACATTCTCTGATAGGAAAGCTAAAGAAAAACATGAAGAGACGTTCAGGTTGTGGAGTGTAGAAAGGGTACGGGAATATTTGGGGTTATTTTTAGCTCTGATCTGCGCGCTTAGCGGGTTTTAAACCGGGTGGCATCGGGTTTGATGTGGTAAATTTATGAAATTCATTGAAATTTGGATTCTCCTAATTGATTCAATTCAAACAACCTGTGGATTAACGTTCAGCTCCAGGCTAAACATAAGAAAAGAGGGCTCCGTTATGTAAAGAGGATAAAATCAGCGGCACGATGAACACGTCCAAACAAACCGACATCGCTAGCATAACGTGCGTTCGTCCTGAGCCGCGGCGGCAGCTGCTCGGTAAATCCCTCCACAGTCTCCCAGTAACGGCTCATCAGTCCCTACTTACCCGCTTGTGAAACGTCAAATCGGTCCTCACACGGAACTTCACTCGGTGGTTCACCGGAGCAGCTGCATTTCTGCCGCGGGGTGAAGGTGCGCTGCTCGCGCGGTCGGTTTTGTTCTGCTTTCCCTGGGAGTCTTTCCGTTACTCCCGCGGTAAGAGCGGCTGCCTCCTCTGTCAGTCACGGAGCCGAGCCGGCTGAGCGCTCGGCCGCCATCTTGGTTTTGATGGGAGTCCGCCGACACACACACGTTCATGTTTACATCACTTCAGAGGACATCCCAGTTACCCTCCGGCACAGGGGCGAGTATAATGTGCGAGTGTTAGGGGTGCCCTATACCCTCAGCTTCTCAGCGTTTTACTCTTTAAACCTGCGTCCTTCTGGTTTACAAATAAATTCTGCTGGGAACTTCTTGTTTTATTCATTAAGAAAAAAAAGCAAACCGTTATTGATCCATTTCTCTAAGCCACCCAATGTTACACAGTAATCAATGAAGATCCTGATGCAGCAAAGCAACTTAAGCCCCAACACTTCCAATTCAAGGTTCTTTTTCCTGATTGATGTCGTTGGTTTCTGTCAAATATATCCTCTGTTCTGGTGTTCCAGTAACTCGTCTTCAAACTCAACAATATGACATTCTCTCTCAAAAACATAAATTCAATCTCTTTCTGATTGTACTTTGGGATTTTTTTTTTTTCAATCTGAAAACCATCCACTTTTAAAGCTTGTGGAGGAACACAATGTGTTCAGTATTTATAACATAAATATTTTAAATTGTGTCAATCTCAAGTAGATTTATTGTTCTCTTCAGAATCAGAAAGACAAGTTTAAAATCTCTAAGGCAACTACTTGATATAATTTTTTTAAATTATTGATCTGGTGGTCCATCAGCTGCAGCATAATCTCAGGTCAGTTACCTGTCCAGCTTTGGTGGAGGATCATGTCCAGATTAGCAATGATCTGCACCAGTTGAATGAAAAGTCTTAATCTTAATGCATATATTTGGACACAGTATTGAATGAAACATCCAAAAGTTTATTTAAGGCATATTTACAACCCTTCCTGAATTATAAAAATTCAGAGAATCCGTCTTTCGGGATCAAAATTAATTATGTACATTTCAGTTTCTAAGCGGCAATAAAATATTACAGTGACTTCAGTGGATTTAAGGAAGCATCTAGTCAGTGACTGCAGCAATCCCTCCTCCTTAACATGAGTGTAGCAAAAGTAGTCGGTGACTTTACCACAATCCCTCATCCTGAACATGCACATGATAACAGTGGAAAAGAAAACTCCCTTCTAACAGCAGAATCTTGCATTCAATCAACTAATTTTTCTTCTTTGTTATTCTTTTTTGCAAATCCTCTTCTTAAATATTTATTTTATCCTTGTCAGTGTGCTGAATGTTCTGTAAAACATTTACCTTTATAAATTACAAACCATCCGTCAGAGCAATAAAGTAGTATAATATTTTTTGTAAAAAGTCACTTTTGAGCCAAAACATTCATTAGATAAACAAACCTACATTACCTTAGAAAATAGCTGTAATCTCTATGATTAATGTCGTTACCTGGGATATAACGCTTTTAAAATGACGTTTTTCCACATATTTTAAAGGAAACTTAAACTAACTTTACATAGAAACTGTCAGAAATTTGTTAGAATAATTCACAAGTCTGTATTTAGTTGTCAGAAACAACTAGAGGCTGACTAAAAGACCATTTTAGAAAGAATAGTTTTTCTTCTCAAAAGGCTAGAAACAAGAGCTGAGGGTGAGGCAAAAAATAAAACTTTCTGAAGTCTGTTACCACTTAAAAATACAATAAAGTCTGGCTCCTTGAAGACAAAGAAGAAGGCAGCTCCAGACACTCAGAAAACACCAAGCATTATTTATTTATTTTTATTTTCTTTAACATTTCTATTTCTAATCATTATTTATGCAACCCAAATGGAGGCTTTCACAATGCTTTTAGTCCAAACAAGCCTCAGAATTGCTGTACTGTTGCAAATGAGGAGAAATTTGCAGATATAATATTTTATTAGCTGGTGACTCACATTTTTTGTCGCCAAAGTAAAGTGATGAAGCTGAGTAATTTATGTCCCCAGCATCTGACTGCACACACACAAATACACACACTTTCCCCCAGCAGGAGGGAGCTCACATAATCTACCTGATGCTGACAATTAAATTACCTCAAATCCTATTTGTTAATGAAACTGACCTAATTCTGGGTTTAATTAATGATGTAAACCCAGATTGTGTAATACTTTCCCTTAAACTTGATTTTCCTCCTTTAAAGTGACGGATTGTTCCGTGTCTCATGAGGATAAACAACCCAATCAGTCAAAGATTTGCAGGATTGTGTCATTTATGCAGAACATTTCAAAGCACAGCCAGAATTTCCATGGCTCCTTCTGGACTAAGTGCATCAGACAGAGCAGATAAATAAAATAGGAGCATTTTACAAGGGCAGACAGGGCTGGGGAAAACGTCAGACAGTGAGGACAGCTTTTTCTCATGCTCACTTGTCATTCTGCATCAAAGCAAATGAACCCAAATGTTTGGCATAGACCATCATGACAGAAAACAGAAGTTTTTCCATTATTAATTTTGGAGCCTGTAAAAAAATGATGTGTAAAAATGTCCCATCTGGCGGTTGTGAAGTAAGCAGGACAAACAATAATAAGTAAGTGTAGAGGGATGAAGTTTTGTAGGAATATCTAATAAAATGATTTTTCACATTATGGCAAATGGGCAGTCTAAAAGTCGTCACACTCTAAATGCTTTTCACTTTCAAAGGTGGCCTATTATGCTTGCTTGAACAGGTTAGAATACCAGCGACACAAAACATGCTCATCACATATTTTGCTCAAAATCCTTCAGAGATAATGAGATTTTAGTCTGATGTTTGAGCTGCTCTAGGGTATCTTGTCACTTTAAATCCAAACAAGTTGCTGCTGGCCCCGCCCCCAAAATCAACGTTTACACTCACTTGCAAAAATGGCTGCAAATAAATGTCAAATTATGCAACTGTACGTCTTGAAAAACAGAAGTGGAGCCTCCTGTGTGACCTACAAGAAAACAGCAAGTGGTTTCTAGATGGTAAATCAACAACAAAACACTTGTCTTTTTCAACAGCCATTGTATCTCACAGTCAGCTGTAAAACCAGCTGTCCAAATCTGCTGGGATTTGGCTGGGGTCGCTAGGTAAAAGGGTGGGCTGTGCCCTAGCCTGGTTCGATTGTGACTCAACAATCTGGAGGTTTTTGAAACACCAAAAAACATGAAGTTACTTCCAAAAACCAACAGGGTGTTTAGTTTTTTTACACACTTGGTTTGTCTTTAGAAGCAGTAGAAACCCAAGTTGAAGTACAAAAATGAGTAAAATGCTAATTTAATCAGTCCCCCTTAAAATTCCTCAATCTATGTTATTAACAGAGCAGCACAACTAACCATGTAATTGTGAAATTAAATGAAAAAGATTAATGTTCTTATTTATTTAACACAAAAATCTGAAGTGTATATTTATGCAGCTCCTCTTTATACTTCGTTTGGGGGAGATTTGCAGCAGGTATATCTGCGAGACTGTCAGTCATGCTATAAGATCCATGCTCATCCCAACCTTTCCTGTAACGATAAGTTGTCTCTCAGCCAATAGCACATTTAGCAGTGAGTACATAAGGATGATTGACTACACTAAGTCATCAATCAACTAATTAGTCAATTAACTGCAAGTAGTTGCTACTTACTTAAAAGTAAATAAGTAGTTATATTTGGTAGATAATTTTTATCAAGTGAAACGTGGCTGTAAAAAATACTCAAATAAGAGTAAAAAAGTATTTGGTAAAAAGTCTATTAGAACTGAGTAACTGATAAGAATTAGCATTTCATATTTCAAAATGACATAATCAGACAGACCAAAAATATAAAGTGGAAATATTGGTATTTTAAGGACTGAAATGACAATAATTTATGTAAGTAACAAAAAATAACAAAATCAGGCAAAAGAACATTTGCCTGATTTCTTTCAATAAAAAACTTAAGAAACTTTAACAAAAACCGCAGCTATGTTTCTGTATCTGGTGGATTTTTGGTCAAAACATTTGTTTTTCATTCCGTGAAAGACAAAAATGTCTGGATTTTTATGGAAGAAAATTCAGAAATTTTACTCAGGTAAGAGTAGAGATACATCATAGTAAAATTACTCAAGTCGAAGTAAAAAGTACATTATGATCAAAGTATTCCTAAAAGTACATTTTTTTCAAAATGTTTACTCAAGTACATGTAACTAAGTAACTAGTTACTATCCAATTCTGGTCACGACATAGTCCAAAAATATTTTTCCTTTAGAAAGCTTTAAAGCTGAACAAATCTGCTTTCATTTTACCATAACGCACTTGGATTAGGTGGCCTGATTGTTGAAGATGTTGGAGACTTTTCCTCCCATCCTGTTCTACACCGCAGCATCTTGGGAGTGACTCACTGCTCAAGGCTGTTCAAATTAATAACCATAAACAGAAAACTAACAATGCCTTCCAAATGGCCTTCAAGCCCCATCCTGATTGATGCGAAATAAAATTATTGTGACTATTTATGAGATGGTTGGCATGCAGCAGCTGAGTTTTATTTTGTGTTGAAGGGCTGTGTGTGTGATGAAGCTGGCTCAAGCAGCTTGGTGGAGGTGAAGTGCTGGCAAAGTGTTTTCACGCATATGTGCAGAGTCATAAATCTATTACATGTGTGCTATATGTTTTGTTCTCAAAGGTTAGATGTTAGAAAAAGCTGAGACCGAATTTTCACAGTTTCCACAAGACAAACAATCTGAAATTTTCTGCAAAGGCTGTTTTATTTGAGAGTTGAGCATATTTAGGCAAATCTGTTTTGCTGCTGCAGTCATTGTAATCGAAATGTTACTGCTGCCATCTGCTGTCTTCTGCAGCCCAATGCATGGAATTAAACTCCACAGATAAGGTTTTTGTAGAATGCAGATCTGAAAATATAAATATTTTCAGACCTAATGTGCTAAATAAACACATGCACCAAAAGTATATATTTTTTAGTATTTGTCTGTGCCTTCTCCCAGTGCTGACTAGAAATAACCATTCAGAGACAGGAGGAGGCTCTTAGCGCTGTTATGATCAGGTGATGCCTTTGTCTGTTTGATGCAATTCTGTGAAATGTTGAAAAAGAAAACAAGACACTATTAGTTAAGTTTAGTTGACTTGGCCTCAATCAAAAGCATGCTTAACTATTCTGAGTTTCTCATAAATCCTTTATTGTCACAAGTTAAATATCATATTCATTGTTCCAGGTAGGGAAAGCCATGCCTTGCAGAATTTTACAATGAAGTTATGTTTTATATCTGGACGTTTTATATCTGAAGTTACGTTTCATTTAAGACTCTGACAAAAAATAGCTATCAAAACAATTTAAATCTGTACTGCTTTGAATGTACAGTTGGGAACTGAAGCTCCTTAGTTTTTTCTTGAATACTGTTTATCTGTATTTGTTTTTCTTGAGGCATAACAAATGTTTCACTCTGCCATTATACAGTGGATCTGTGAATAAAGTTTTAAAAATAAACAAATAAATGACAATCTATTGGGCGTAGAACAATAGGTGGCTGGCATGCATTGCTGTGGGCCCCAATAACTGTCATTAGGGACTTCCGTTTGATTTTCTTAAGTTTAAATTCTAATTATCGCTTTGTTTATTTACTTCTGTTCACACACACGCACACACATGCACGCTCACACACACTCACCACACACACACACACATACATACATATATATATATATATATATATATATATATATATATATATATAATATATATATATATATATATATATATATATATATATATATATATATATATATATGTGCCTGTACATATGTAAATACCCCACTAGGGACAAGGATGTAAGAAAATGGATGGATGGATGGATGATGGATGGATATATAAAATGATGATAAAGCTTTTATTTTTATGAGATAACAGTTTCCGGAAATTGTGTCTTCTTCACTGCATGTGAGCTCTTGTTGTGAGACACTTGACCGGAAGTGAAGGTGTCTTGCCGTATCAGCTCTAATTCGACAGTTATGTGAAGATGGCGGCTCAGAGTCGCTCTCTGCCGCTGCTTCTGCTCGTCTCCTCGCTGTGTCTCTGGAGCTCGGTAACCGTCTTGGGCCTGAAGGCAGCGAACTCCCCGCCCGAGACGCCCAAACAAGCCAATGTCGGAACCGTCGACCATCCGGATAAGAATGCACCTGTCGCCGCTGCCGCCGGGGCCTCTCAGCCGCGAAGGGCGAGCGGCTGGAAGCTGGCGGAGGAGGCGGCCTGCCGGGAGGACCTGACCCGCCTGTGCCCCAAGCAGACCTGGTCCAACAACCTGGCCGTTCTGGAGTGCCTTCAGGACCGCAGAGAGGTAAGCGGCTGGTGGACGAGTCTGCGGGGATTCACACCGGGAGGTGATGATAAACATGACGGGCATCTGCTGGGTGTGTCGCCCCCGGTTGGTGGCTGAAAGAGACGCCGGCTGTCAACGTGACATCGAGGCAGAGGGGTCCACTCACCACCCGCTGCCGGGTTCTGACCCGGACCAAACCGTCAACACATTCACAAGGCCCGAAATCTGTGTTTTCCTCTTGAAAACACTCCTCAGACCCCTAAGAACAAATTATTCTGAATAAATGAAAATACAACAAGGCTCTGGGTTATGAACAAGTAATAAAGTTTTAGCACATTCTAGATGGTTTTACTTCACAAGGAACCATAATGAAATATAATGAAAACGAATTAAAAAGATGTACATCCAAAGCCTTAGTTAAAATCTAGGCTGATTCTTATGTGTGATTTCTATGACAGTATAAACTTAGAGAAGCAAATTATATAATTTTTAGATTATCTGAAATATTTTAAACATAAGCAAAACATTCAATTTAATAATTTTTGGTAAGAGTCACAACCACAGATGGGTAGAGGTCACTTTTGTCCAATAGTATATTCCTTACCCTGAACTTGCATTTCACCTTTCCTTTAAACTTGGTCATACTTTCCTCACACTAAAGTAGATCGAGTCGGGTGATTTATGAGTTTATTGGTTACTTTCTAGAGGTTATTCTTGAAATAGCTCTCTGACTTTTTCAAAACATGCATTGATTGGTGATCATTTTCCCATAACTTCGGAGTTACCTTTGCAGTATTTAGGGAGTCTGATTTCTGGTTTCCAGCTGTAAAAACTGAAGCTGTGCGCTGGCTCGTAATCATTTTTCTGGAGGTTAAAAAATAATTGGTTCAGTTTTGTCACTGTTTAACTGGAGAAAGTTATGGCACGTCCACAAATTGATTTGTTCTGAGGATCTGTGGCTGAACGGCCTCAGAGTGAGCTGGTGACATTGTCATGTAGAGCTGTGCATTATCTGTATAGTTTTGGTAGCATGTAGATATTAAATTTGAAGGGGTCCAGTATTGAACCTTGCTGTATCCTACATATCCAGGATCTTTTTGCTGCCATCTGCACCCTGCAGCCAGAGTAATTCATAATAAATGGATGTTTGTTAGATTCTTGCATTTGTATGCTTTTTATATGTCAGTATTTTGTCCAAAATGCTTATCTATCAGTAGAAATTCACTGACTCACAATGGTTTGATTATGCTGGCACTGAATGGCGATGTGTGTGTGGCAAATAGGAGTATAGCTGGAGGAGGAAATGATCCAGAGCCATAAAAGACAGACTGGTGGTTTAGACACACATCTTTAGCAGCATATTAACTTCCAAAGAGTCATTTAGTAATCAATAATCTACAAAAAGTGGAAGAACTTCTTCATTTTTGGTTCTTTTTTCATGGCGTTTTCCATGTTATACAAGAAGTTTTAGGATCCTGGACTCTGCTCAGCTCTGTCGCTTGCAGTGTCTCTGCCTCTAAAATAATTATTGACTTAGTTAGACTGTAACTGAGCAGTCATTCAGCTGTCAGGTGACTTAAAGGTCAAAGTCAAAACCAAACATCCTGCCAGCTTTTTTTCTTGCATGATAAAAAAATCCTTCCATATTTCTGCTCACATTCCTTTTGACTTGCGCTGCTTCTTTGTCCGTGAGAGGTCAAAGGATTTACAGTGGCTGTTTGTTCCAACTGAGAAAAGCTTTAACAGCTCAGCTTTTCCCATTCTTTCATGTGGAAACATTATTGTTCCACTATCTATATGATTATGCTTGTTTTCTTGGATGCCCTCTGTTGCATTGGATTTCTCTGTTGAGTTTACTGTCTAGATCAGGGGTCTGCAACCTGAAGCTCCAGAACCAAAACTGGATTTTCCACAATTTGGTAAAAAAAAAGAGCAGAACCAACAAATTTTCGGAAACAATTAATTGGACTAATTGTGATTAATTATGACTAATCAACTATGGAAATATCGTAAACTAACTTAACAATTGATCAATTGTTAATTGCAGTATAAAGTCCCCAAAAAAGGCAATTTGCTAAAAGAATAACACTCTATTAGTTAGTAGTATTAGTTAGACCAAAACCAAGCTTTTCTTTGTAAATATGTTTTACCCAGAACCAGTGAGATGACACGATATAGCCGATAATTAAAATGAGGTCGATAGTTTTAACTTATCGTTTATCGCGACAGGCCTACTGCTGACTTTAGGATATTTTTGTAAACAGAAGAGTTCTGGTTTAACTAAAATTTAGCAAAAAGAAGGAAAAGAAAGCCCAAATCATCCCTCCTCAAGCTTGGAGATGGCATAAGGTGCTGATATACTGCGTTTCATAACAACCTGAATGTTTTCCAGTCTTTTTCTAACTGCATTGTCATGAAATTTGACATCTAAGATGCTAACTGAGTCCTGTGGCATCTGCGATGGAGCTTTTGTGGGTTTATTTATAGACTTTAGAGTGAATTTTATTTAAGATCTGTGCTGCATTTGTGTGTGAGAGACTATAAGTGGCTTTCCCTGCAGTACAGATACAAACTGCAAAGCACTTTATGAGCGTGTTTGAAAGGTAAGCACATTTTGAAGCTCTTGGTTTCTTTTGTAATGTGAAGTTTTAAAAAAGTCTCTTTATTGGGAGGAAGAGTGCTATAAAACTATTTCTCTCTATTGCACATTTACTCAAGTGTTGTTATTTTGTGGCAGCACAAGGTCTCTCTCCGTTTTACTCGACATACAGAGAGCCCCTGTTACACTGTAAAAACATTTATCTTTCTTTTACAATCAGGCTGCAACTAACAATTACTTACTAAATTAATTAATTATCTTTATTAATCAGATTAATCATGATTAGTCGGATTAATCGTTTCACCCCTACAATACAGTGAAGTGAAAATGACAATGATTGACCACTTTTCTCAGAAACACATTTATAGAGGAGTTATGTACGCTCCTCACCAACATGGCTGCATATCATGCTAATATTTATAGTATCGATGTTTCTTTTTAAGAACAAAATAAAAGGGGGATTTTTTTAGATTTCGGTTAATCTCCTTGTTGTCGTCCTTCCTCTTCACCTTTACTCTGCAGCCATGAGCGATCCTGAGATAATTGCTCTGCCTTTGAAGCCGCTGTGGCCTCCTGGGCAGGCTAATGGCTCCTGTAAATCTGAGGAGAGGAAAACCAGAATCAGCAGCAGAGTTTGAGTCGCTGCTCCACAATCTACTGGGACGCCTGAATGTCGGCGTCAGAGGACGTTGTGTTGCTCCTGTCAGGTTTCTGTCAGATCAGCGCTTTACTCCGATTCAATCGTGTCTCTCACAGTTTTGGCACCTGGTTATTGATTTTTTTTATATTTTTATTCAAAGCGTGTCTTTCCCTCTATGAAACATTTTTAACTTAGAAATTTGATCGAATTCTGGTTCCGTTTACTGTATCTGGTCTGGAAAGTTGGAATTTCCTGCGGTCATTGAATGCAGCAGCTCCTTAATTGTTTTCAGGGCTTTTTGTAAAACCACCCAAAGGTTTAATTTACTACTGAATAATGAAGAAAGTTGATTAGAGAAAAAGTTCTTACATGTAAGATAGTACAATAATCAATTCATAACTCAAATGTACAAATTCTCATCCCATTTTCAGTCAAAAAAGAAACAACTTGTGTTATTTTTTCTTCTTCAAAGTAAAACATTACAGCTTAACACAGGAACATGGTGGCATCACATTCGGCCATCTTGGATCTTCTACTTGTTCTGTTTGGTTTTCTTTTTCAGAGAAACCATAACAATGTTACCAAATGATCACTAACTGACTTGCAAAAGGAAGAACACTGATAGTCTATTTCACCTGTGCAACTCAATCTGCAGTAAGAAAATGGCGGTTATTATTATTTTCTGTCTGAAAATATTTTTTTCTGTTTTTTTTTTTTGTCCAGGAAATTGAGCTGGCACCCAACTGCAACCATGTGAGTATTTTTCCTAAGTTTTCAAGCAGTCGATGTACTCTTAATATTTAAACCAATCACAACTGTTACAGTTTAACTCAATTATATCAATTTAATCCAAATCGTTTGTTGTTTTGATGCATTTTTTACATTATATTTACATCTAATTGTGCATTTAAATATTCATTTGGCTAAATATTTACTGAATTGTGCAGTAATGAATTTGTTTTCAGGTTAGCAGATAAATTTAAGTGTCCCACACTGGAACGTTTCTTAATATTGAAGTCTTAACTGTAGCTTTTTGCTTCGTTTCTCGTGGGTTTTTAACCTTTTGTGCCCTTATTGTGCTCAGCTTCTGTGGAATTACAAACTGAACCTGACGACTGATCCAAAGTTTGAGTCTGTGGCCACAGAGGTCTGCCGGAGCACCATCACTGAGGTTTGTAGCGTGTTTTCACACGGTATTTCCTGCCCCGGTTCGTTTAGTTGACACTTCTCATTCCCTCACCTGCAGATAAAGGAGTGTAATGAGGAGGAGCGAGGGCGGGGCTACCTGGTGTCCTGCCTGGTGGATCACAGAGGCAACATCAGCGAGTACCAGTGCAACCAGTACATCACCAAGATCACCAGCATCATCTTCAGCGACTACAGGCTCATTTGTGGCTTCATGGATAAATGCAAAGAGGATATAAACAGCCTGCGCTGCGGCAGCATCAACGTAGGACAGAAGGTGAGAGTGAGTGTGTGTCCAGTGCTTTACACTGTAAATACTAACCCAGAAAAAAGGAAATTTATTTACATTTTTCAATGTCAATAATTTGAAAACCAGTTTTTCTCAAAACTAAAGTTAGTACATTTGATTATTTCTGTTCCTTTAGTAGTAATAAATTCTAACATATAATGGTGTATTGAATTGTTTTTAACTCTAAAGTGTGGCACTGGAAATGTTTGAAAACTCACCTTGAAAATGCTTGAAAAATTCTTTAATTTTGCTGTGGGAAACCCTGTATCTCTCCACAGGATATGCACTCGCAGGGCGAGGTGATCGCCTGCCTGGAGAGGGCGCTGGTGAGGCAGGCGGAGCAGCAGGAGCGAGTCCATCCCATCAAAGAGGAGTGTCAGAAAGCGATCCTCCGGGTGGCAGAGCTGTCGTCTGATGACTTCCACCTGGACAGGCACCTTTACTTCGCCTGCCGAGACGACCGGGAGAGGTTCTGCCAGAACGTACGGAGACTCTCAAAGAACAACCAGAGGAAATTAATCAAGTTTTCACTTTTAAAACAGCAGATTTCTATTTCTGTTCAGGTCCAGGCAGGAGAAGGGAAGGTCTACAAGTGTCTGTTCAACCATAAGTTTGAGGAAGCCATGTCCGAAAAGGTATTCAGAGTCAGCAGATTGTTACTGACTTGGGATGTACACATAAATATTAGATAGAACTATTTCTTGCTTTGTTTCTGTCTAACTTAGAAACACCTGCCTCTGTGTAGTACTAAGATCAATATCAGTGATAAGTATTGCAGTATTTACTGCCCAACTAGCTTTAGCTTTGCTAATGTAGCTTTTATCTGATAGCTGAGACGGACATGTAGCTTGCGTGTTTGTTACTACATGAACTTATTCTGCCAGTCACCAGATCCTTGTTATTATGTCATATGAAGAGTTTGTACATTTTTTACAAATTTGTTGAAAAACTGTTTATACCCATAGATTTCAGGCTATGAAGCTCCTCCATTCTGTAAGCCTCTTCCTGCTCACTAAGTAGTGAACTATGTTGGAGGAGGAGTTCAGAAAATTATGATTGTGTTTATAATGTGTTAAAACAAATGGTGTTAACACACGGTGGGCTGCAGTAGCGCCTCCACCGCCAGGCTTAGAAGCGGGAATCTCTTACTGATCGATTACTTTGCTGACCCTTACGTCACGAATCATCCTGTGTTAATCCTCATGTTCCTCTCACCAGTGCAGAGACGCCCTGACGACCCGACAGAAACTTATCTCCCAGGACTACAGAGTCAGCTACTCTTTGGCGAAAGCCTGCAAGCTGGACCTGAGGAAGCAGCGCTGCAGCCTGGACAGCAGCTTGCCGCGTGCCCGCGAGGCGCGGCTGTCCTACCTGCTGCTGTGCCTGGAGGCCGCCGTGCACCGAGGTGAGAGCGCGATGACCCCACAGGTTCCCTCCTCCATCCCCTTCGTGGAGGAGGGGGTGGAGAATCCCATCCAGGAAACAGCTGGATGGGATTCAGCGAGAATCCCATCTGGCTGATGGGAGATGGGATGCTTGTAATCCTTGAAAATTTTTGAATTTCAAGTAGAAATTCAAATTCAAATTGATTTCTGTATAAGGTCCTTGAAAGTGGTTCATATTCAAACTCTGCATTTTTGTAATAAAGTGCAATATAACAAATTTTAAAAGTGTTGCTGACAGTTGAAACCAGATATTTAAAGTAGTTAAAAGCCAGACACACATTTTTCTCCTCACTGTCTGAAGTTAAATCAGCCGTGATGTATTTTGTTTCAGGTCAGACAGAATCACCAAACTTTATTTCTCTTTGCTAAATGCAAACATAAATAAATATCAGAGCAGAACATTCAAACAACTGGATCGATCGAATTGGCTCTTGATAACTATATTGATGATTTCTTCTCATTAAAAAACTGTTTTCTCTACATTTTAAGAATTTTTTTTCTGTTAAGATTATTTTCTAATGTTATGACTATTATTTTCTCAAAAGTAAAGAACAATTCTCGGTTTCTGTGTTGCGCAGGCCGTCCGGTGAGCGGCGAGTGTCAGGGGGAGATGCTGGACTTCAGGAGGATGCTGATGGAGGATTTTTCCTTGAGCCCAGAGATCGTCCTTCACTGCCGGACGGAAATCGAGGCCCAGTGCTCCGGTTTGCACCGTAAGGGCCGGACGCTGCACTGCTTGATGCGACTCGGCCGAGGCGACCGCAGCAGCGCCGTCGACAGCGTCTGCCAGAACGCGGTACGAACACAACAAATAAGAAATCAGAAATGATTATTCCTGGCTTTTCTAAGTTTTTTGATTTGCTACAGCTGCAAACTCTGATCCAGTCTGCGGATCCGGGAGCCGATTACCGGATCGACCGAGCGCTGAACGAGGCCTGCGAATCCGTCATCCAGACCGCCTGCAAACACATCCGCAGCGGAGACCCAATGTGAGCAACTTATGTCAAATTTTAAAAGGAGGGATTGTGTAAAACAAACTTTTTTAAGCTGTACATCATGCTACAATGTAAAATAAACATTTCATTATTTCATGCATGTCTGAAGAATCATTTAGTTCTTTTCTAAATTAAATGGTATATTTATTATTTTTTATAACTGAAGGCGACATAATTACTTTTGTTAGTCAATGTTTTTACAACAACCTCAGATCAAAGTGCTTCACAACAATCACGGGCAGATAAATGATAGAAACAAGAAATGAAATTAAGTTTGATAAAAAAATAAAAACTAATTTCAGTTGCAGCAATTTCCCAAAAGTTCGACTGAATTACGTTGTAATTTTCCCTCCTTTCTTTTGTATTAAATGCGAGCTTGCAGAGTCTGACATTGAACGTCTTAAGTTCTTGTTTCCGCCTCGGTATTTGATGGGTTTGTGTTTCTGTAGGATCCTCTCCTGCCTGATGGAGCATCTGTACACTGAGAAAATGGTGGGCGACTGTGAGCATCGCCTGCTGGAGCTGCAGTATTTCATATCCAGAGACTGGAAGTGAGTTGCTTGTTAGCTGCATCATTAGAAGGACGCAACACCTTAACCAAACCCTGCAGGAAGTTCTATTAACTATTAACACAAATTCACTCAGCATTCGCAATTTTTTTTAGAAATTTGACCGTTTTCTGTATTTCCTTATTTTCTGGCCAATCCCTTTTGCTTAATTTAACTTCCTATTTCATTATACCTCAGATAATGTTAGCTAACTGATGATCTGTTGATTCATGCCAGTATTTCATATTTCAGGAATACTAATGTTGTAACATATTATATATTCTATTACCAGGCAGGTAAAACCAGCACTTTCAGTTATTTTCTTTGTTTATATTTGATTTTTAAAATGTCTTTCCAGTTGGAGTTTTAAATGCTTATTAGAATTTAAAGTTTATTGATCTCTAAGAATCTCTTTTTGGGTTATTATGCTATTATTACCATCATGTTACATGAAAATGATTTCAAGCTAACAATGTTATCGTTTATCGCAATAACATCAGACAATTCATCACCCAGAATAATGTGTTGTAGAATAATTTGGATCTTTTCGCCCCGAACAGAATCCGATCTGGTCCGTTTGCTTACATTTTGTATTTTCTGCAGATTGGACCCGACCCTGTACAGGAAGTGTCAGGGCGACGCGGCCCGACTCTGCCACACCCTCGGCTGGAACGAGACGAGCGAGCTGATGCCGCCAGGCGCCATTTTCTCCTGCCTGTACCGCCACGCTTACCGCACAGAGGAGCAGGGTCGCCGGGTAACAGCAACACTCCGACCTCCAAACAGACGCAGCTTCACTGCGACTCAGCGGTTCTGGGTGATAATTTTAGAACTTATGTCTTTAAATTCGCCAGGTGCGACCAGATGAGCAGGTAAGAGACGTTCAGGCTCGACTAAAATCAGGTGAAGGGCTAAAATAATCTGACTTTTAATCTGCCTGATGAGTAAAAACGTCAAACTGGATTTTTTTTTTAGCTTTATTACATTTTTCATAAATTATCAATAATAAACAGTTGAAACCAGAAGTTTATATACAAAAATAAGAGAACAGACATTTGTTTCTTCTCTTTTTGTAGGTTAGTTAAATTTACCAAAATTATTCCTATTGCTGAATGCAGGGAAATATAAAAAGAAGGTCTTTTGGACATCCATTGGGTCCATATCATTCATAGACTGGGTTAAACCTTTTGGCTTCCCATCCTTAAGCTTTTCCCAACAGTTTGCTGCAGTTCAGGTCCATTCCTCCTGACTGAACTGGTCTCACTGGGACAGGTTTGCAATCTGCTAGAAAAGCCGACTTTATTCTCCTTAATACACTTTTTAACAACTTTGGCTGGATGCTGAGGGTCATTGACCATCTGGAGCTTTTACTTCCTGGCTGATGTTTTCATATTTTCTCATAATGTTCTTTCCTCATGATGCCATCTAGTTTATGAACTAGTTCTTCCTGCAGCCCCATGACATGATAAGGTTTCCCCCAGAGTATCATTAGCCTGGCGGGCCCCCAGGCTTTACTCCCCTCCACCAGGCTAAGCATAGTTTGCCTATTTTAAATTGGGTTTTTTATATACCAGTAACAGAAAACATGGATTAAGTAAAGCCTGGTGGCCCGCCAGGCTTATAATACACCAGAGGAACCCTTATTATCATCTGGGCTTCCCGACATTTTTTAAATAGATTTTCAAGGCATTAATAACTAAATCTCGGACACATTGTCTCTCATTATTATGGCGTTTAGCAAATAGGAATATTTTGGCTTAAACCAAGAGAAGTTTGGTCTCTTGGTTTAAGCCATATTTGTTTTTGTATTCAGTGTATGTAAACTTCTGGTTTGTAGTGTAAATCACGCAATAGTCCTTTACAATTAATTGTGTGTTTGCATTTGATTCAATATGAACCCAATGAAAAGTTTGTACATTTTCTGAGGGTTTGTATGCTAACAGTTTGCAGCTAAACTAAGAGAACCTAATTAGCAAATTTGCATAGCAGATTGCGCCGCCTTTTAATTTCAAACTGCATGGAAACCTGGAGCTAACAAGCTAAAAGCTTAATTTGCTCTGGAGCAGTGTGCAAGCATTAGGTGGAAAATAATTTTATGTTAACTGGAGCCTTAGAAAATGGCATCACATTCTCAAAGCCCCGAGCTGTTTGCAACACGCATGTTGTGTTAAAACAATAACATCTGCAGAAGGTTGGTGGTAATCTGATTGAAAGGGGCGATGCTAACAGGACAACATGGCTGCCAGGAAGAAAGAATTGAGCAAATTGCCTTTTTGTGTAAATTTGAAAGTTGATTTAAAAGGTGATTTTGTTTAAAATGGGCCAAATAAATCACAACGAATCACTGACTGAGATTAAAAGCTGGCAGACGCTTTGAACCAGATCAGGAAAATTATTCTTGATTAAAAACAATTAATTAAATCTTTGCCAATCCGATATTAATATCTGTATCAGTTTCAGTATTTTAATGAATTAGATCTGGTATCAGTCTAATTCTATGCTTTGTGCTCTGAGCGACATCATGCTTTATTATTTATTTTATATTACATATTTAATTCCTAATTGCACTTTCTGAACCATTTGACAGGTTTGTTGTAGTTTATTTTTACATTTTACCAAGATAGTCAAACTGTTGTCATTTTCAGGTTATTATTGATCTTACATTGGCCGTATTACACTGACTGAACAAATTAAAGTTGTTTTTACCTGTTTGACCAAACTTGTGAAGTTATTGGTGCATTTAAGTGTGCTGTACTGGTGTAAAGTTATCAAATTCTGTAGATTCATGCCTGTGAAAGCTTTTATACCTGACAACAGTTTATAGAAGAAGTAAGAGTTAAAAGAAGAGCAGGTTGTGTTTGAAGGCTGCAGGAAATCTGCAGTGACATCAGAGAAGCAACTATTGCTGCCCGTCAGTTCAGGAAAGGTTTGACTGAAAATATTTAACGGCCATTTCCAGAGAAAGAGTAAAAGTTTAAGATCGTAACTCTGTCATTCATCAGCATGGTGGTGGAAGGATGGTGCTTTGGGCTTGTGGGGAACGGCTGCAGCAAGTTTTTATGTTTGTCTTCTCTTACGGTGTGTGTGTGTGTGTGTGTGTGTGTGTGTGTGTGTGTGTGTGTGTGTGTGTGTGTGTGTGTGTGTGTGTGTGTGTGTGTGTGTGTGTGTGTGTGTGTGTGTGTGTGTGTGTGCGTGTGTGTTTTTGCAGTTGTCTCGGGACTGTAAAGTGGAGGTTCAGAGGATTCTCCACCAGAGGGCGCTGGATGTGAAGCTGGACCCAGAGCTGCAGAAGCGCTGCATGACCGACTTGGGCAAGTGGTGCAGCGACAAGACGGACACGGGACAGGTAAGACGCACCTGAACCGGGACTGATTGTGCTATAAAATGACACATACACAATACTGGTCCTTAAGAAGTACTCAATTATAATAAACTAAAAGGTCATTAAAATGGTGACCTAGCAGGAGAACTGTTATTTATTCATGCTCAATGCTATATGTGAGTGCAAGGTCTAAAGTATGATGACAGGAGTGGTTTTGAGTAAAACATTCAGAGTCAAATTGGACTCTGAATGTGAAATTGGACTTGATTTTAACAACTGAAGGTAACAAAGTTACTTGATTGTGCTATAAAATGGTATTCTGTTCCTAGAAGGTGGATAATAATGTCCCTTTAAAATATTAAATGATGCATTTTTGATTAATTGCAAGGAGAATAATTCTACCAGAAAGTAAAATGAATCTTTTTGGGACCTGTTTTTGTTTGCATTTAGGAGCTGGAGTGTCTGCAGGAGCATTTGGAGGACCTGGTGTCCAGCTGCAGGGAGGTTGTTGGCAACCTGACGGAGCTGGAGTCAGAGGTCAGAGTTCACATCATGTATTTTATAAAACAAACCAGTGGAAGAAGCTGGATGGATGTAAATCTGTGTGTGTTTCAGGACATCCAGATCGACGCCCTGCTGATCAGAGCCTGTGAGCCCATCATCCAGGGCTACTGCCATGTGAGGACGGCGACACAGCCAATCACAGCTCCTCGGTTTTACCTTTAAAACACTCACCTGTTGTTACGTTTATTTATGTTCAGGACGTAGCTGATAACCAGATCGATACCGGAGACCTGATGGAGTGTTTGGTCCAGAATAAACACCAGAAAGACATGAACGAAAAGTGTGCCGTCGGCGTCACGCACTTCCAGCTGGTCAGCCTGAGCCACGTTTCTATTTCTTATTATTCAACATTTATTTCCAATATTTATCGATTCATGTTGCTCATAAATTTCACTCAGGTTTTGTACAGATGCTTGAAATTCTTCAGTTTCAATTAGGTGTTTTTGAGGATTGGAAAGTTTTGTAATTAAGTGAAATTTCAGTTAAAACCAGATATTTTACAAACAACTAATAAAAAACAGACATTTATTTCTCACTGTCTGAAGTTAATTCAGACCAAATTTTAAATTGTTTTATGTCAGAAATGAAGCCTAGGCGTAAATTCAATCTGGAAGACTCTTTAGCCCCTCCCGCAGCTTTCAGTAGGCGCTTCCCGCTAATCACTGACGACCTATCATCGCTAGACTTAGCCATGTCGCAGCCAATCACCGACCACGCCTCAGTTCATAAGGACGTCCATCCAAAGTGCCTCCCGTTTCGCTGCTGCGCTCAACACGTTCAGTCGCATGTCCCAGCTTCCCAGCAAACCATCCCAGCGGATCCCTTTCTTGGCGATTCCTTGCGTACAGCTGCTTTGCCGTGTCCTCGACCCTTCCTTCCCCATCAGACGCTCCCGAGGCTGCGCTCATCAGTCGCACACCAGCCGCTCATCAGCCGCTCCCAGCCGCTCATCAGCCGCCCTCAGCCGCTCTCCAGCCGCTCATCAGCCGCACACCAGCCGCAGCCGCCCCCAGCCACTCATCAGCTGCTCCCAGCCGCTCATCAGCCGCACACCAGCAGCGGCATGATGAACGAGCTCCCTCGTTCATCATGCCGCGCCCTCCTCGGGCTTCCGGGGTGAGACGTATCTTCTCATGTTTTGAAATGCTAAGAACGCGAATCGTCCATTTAATCCATCCCTTCCCGATCTAGCGGGTTTTATTCGTATGTGCCACCCTGGCTGCGTTTTGATGCTTTAGGACTTTTGCCTGTATGAACGCTTAAACATCCCAATAATAGTAGCATCACGCCTAGCGAGAGCCAGGTGGATCACCTAATTCCACAACGTCCCCACTCCATAGTAGCCCCGTTTCCTTCCGTCGTCAAGCCTCATAGATTACTTTGAACACACAGGACCTCCTGCTCCTGCCAAGCCCCTCCTTCCTGCACATCGAAGTTAGAATCTATCTGTCATCCCTAAGCCCTTTGGATCATGTTTAACCAGTCGTTACTTCTCTCAGTGCCTTTTAAAGCACTGCGCGTTACTGGTGGTGGTTGGTCAACCTCATGCTAATGCATGCTCTCACCTGCCAATGTTATACATGTTTTCATTTATATATATTTTATTTCCCCCCTTTCGTTCTTCACACCCTTCTTGTTGGGCCCATTCCAGAACGGTCTCTTCTCCCGCCCACCTACTCTATCCGTAACCTCGTGCGTCTAATCCCAGCCCTTTTACCTCATGTCCAGTAGCAGGCAACCATCTTCCCTCTTTCTAGGCAGTTGCTTTTGTATCCTCTTCTCGTCATCTTAAGTATCGCTCAGGCCTCTCTTCCTTTAGCTAAAACCTCTTTAGCCTCTCCATCACTTCAGCTAGCTTTTCCCATAAGCTCTTATCGCTCTATTGCCGCTTCCCTCTTACTCAAGTCTTTGCCCATACGCCCCGAGTTACCGGCTTCGATCTCTTCTCACTTTCTCTGGCTCTAATTCCAGCTTCAGCTCTGACCTCAGCTGTCTCTTATGGGGGCATGATATCCCCTACCACCTATACTATTTCTTAGCTGGCTCTCTTCTACTAACATTCTATCATCCCTCGTCCTGCTGCGTTCTCAGCTGGCCTTCATCTCCCAGCTTTCTCTCATTCCTCGTCCCGCTGCATTCTCGGCTGGCCTTCATCTACCAGCGTTCTCTCATTCCTCGTTCTGCTGCGTTCTCGGCTGGCCTTCTCTACCAGCTTTCCATCACCCCTCGTTCCGCCGCGTTCTCGGCTTGCTTTCATCTACTAGCGTTCTATCATTCCTCGTCTGGCCGCGTTCTCGGCTAGCCTTCATTTTTCAGTGATCTATTATCTCTCGTTCTGCTGCGTTCTCAGCTGGCCTTCATCTCCCAGCATTCTCTCATTCCTCGTCCCGCTGCATTCTCGGCTGGCCTTCATCCACCAGCGTTCTCTCATTCCTCGTTCTGCTACGTTCTTGGCTGGCCTTCCCTACCAGCTTTCCATCATCCCTCGTTCTGTTGCATTCTCGGCTCGCTTTCATCTACCAGTGTTCTATCATTCCTCGTCCGGCTGCGTTCTCGGCTTGCCTTCATTTTCCAGTGATCTACTATCCCTCGTTCTGCTGCGTTCTCTGCTGTTCTTCATCTCCCGGCATTCTATCATCCCTCGTTCTGCTGCGTTCTCAGCTGGCCTTCATCTCCCAGCGTTCTCTCATTCCTCGTCCTGCTGCATTCTCGGCTGGCCTTCATCCACCAGTGTTCTCTCATTCCTCGTTCTGCTGCATTCTCGGCTGGCCTTCATCCACCAGCGTTCTCTCATTCCTCGTTCTGCTACGTTCTTGGCTGGCCTTCTCTACCAGCTTTCCATCATCCCTCGTTCTGCTGCGTTCTCGGCTCGCTTTCATCTACCAGCGTTCTATCATTCCTCGTCCTGCCGCGTTCTCGGCTTGCCTTCATTTTCCAGTGATCTTCTATCTCTCGTTCTGCTTCGTTCTCGGCCGGCCTTCTCTACCAGCTTTCCATCGTCCCTCGTTCTGCCGCGTTCTCAGCTGTCCTTCATCTCCCAGCGTTCCATCATCCCTTGTTCTGCTGTTCTCGGCTGGCCTTCATCTCCCAGCGTTCTCTCATTCCTCGCCCTGCTGCATTCTCGGCTGGCCTTCATCTACCAGCGTTCCATCATCCCTCGCCCTGCTGCATTCTCGGCTGGCCTTCATCTACCAGCGTTCTCTCATTCCTCGTTCTGCTGTGTTCTCGGCTGGCTTTCATTTACCAGCGTTCTATCATTCCTCGTCCTGCCGCGTTCTCGGATTGCCTTCATTTTCCAGTGATCTATTATCTCTGGTTCTGCTGCGTTCTCGCTGACCTTCATCTCTCAGCGTTCTGGCACTTTATCGTTTCTCTCGCTACGCACATCCCCAGCTGGCCTTCATCTACCAGCTCCCCATCATCCCTCGCACGCACATCCCCAGCTGGCCTTCATCTACCAGCTCCCCATCATCCCTCGCACGCAACATCCCCGGCTGGCCTTTATCTACCAGCTCTCCATCATCCCTCGCACGCAACATCCCCAGCTGGCCTTCATCTACCAGCTCCCCATCATCCCTCGCACGCAACATCCCCAGCTGGCCTTCATCTACCAGCTCCCCATCATCCCTCGCACGCACATCCCCGCTGGCCTTCATCTACCAGCTCCCATCATCCCTCGCAACATCCCCAACTGGCCTTCATCTACCAGCTCCCCATCATCCCTCGCACGCAACATCCCCGGCTGGCCTTCATCTACCAGCTCTCCATCATCCCTCGCACGCAACATCCCCGGCTGGCCTTCATCTACCAGCTCTCCATCATCCCTCGCACGCAACATCCCCAGCCGGCCTTCATCTACCTGCTCTCCGTCACCCCTCGCACGCAACATCCCCAGCAGGCCTTCATCTATCAGCTCTCCATCATCCCTCACACGCAACATCCTCAGCCGGCCTCATCTACCAGCTCTCCATCATCCCTCGCATGCAACATCCCCAGCTGGCCTTCATCTACCAGCTCTCCATCATCCCTCGCATGCAACATCCCCAGCTGGCCTTCATCTACCAGTTTTATCATCTCTCGCACGCAACATCCCCAGCTGGCCTTCATCTACCAGCTCATCATCTCTCGCAAACATCCCTAGCTGGCCTTCCACCAGCATTTTATCATCCCTCACTGTAACGTCCCGGCTGCCTTCTTTACTTCCAAGCATTTTATCATTTCTAGCTGCGCAACATCCCTAGCTGGCCTTCATCCACCAGCATTTTATCTTCTCTCACGCTGCCGTGCCCTCTGCCGCCTTTTATCTAGCAGCAACCTGTGCCCTCCTCGTTCCTAGCTGGCCTTCATCTACCAGCATTTTATCTTCCCTCACGCTGCCGTGCCCTCTGCCGCCTTTTATCTAGCAGCAACCTGCGCCCTCCTCGTTCCTAGCTGGCCTTCATCTACCAGTTCCCGGTAGATGAATCAACGGGCCATTCTACGCCCCGTGGTGTCCCCTCACTGGCCTTCATCTAAAAGCTTCACATGGTCCCAGCCTGTAATCCTGAGTTAGCTTAGCTCATCCCGTTTTCTCTACTTTCCCACTTCCGGCCTCGGCCCCGGCCTTAGCCTCCCTTTTTTTTTGGGGGGGGGGATGTCATTCCTATCAGCATCAGGAATGCTCATCCGAGCTTATCGCGTCAGCCCGATATCCTTAGCTGGGGCCCGAGCGCCAAAGACTTAATTAACTTTTCTAATCGCTTTCATTAGCTGGCTTTCCCTAGCTGGCCTTCATCCACCATTTTATCTTCCCTCACGCTGCCGTGCCCTCTGCCGCCTTTTATCTAGCAGCAACCTGCGCCCTCCTCGTTCCTAGCTGGCCTTCATCTACCAGTTCCCGGTAGATGAATCAACGGGCCATTCTACGCCCCGTGGTGTCCCCTCACTGGCCTTCATCTAAAAGCTTCACATGGTCCCAGCCTGTAATCCTGAGTTAGCTTAGCTCATCCCGTTTTCTCTACTTTCCCACTTCCGGCCTCGGCCCCGGCCTTAGCCTCCCTTTTTTTTTTTTGGGGGGGATGTCATTCCTATCAGCATCAGGAATGCTCATCCGAGCTTATCGCGTCAGCCCGATATCCTTAGCCGGGGCCCGAGCGCCAAAGACTTAATTAACTTTTCTAATCGCTTTCATTAGCTGGCTTTCCCTAGCTGGCCTTCATCCACCAGCATTTTATCTTCCCTCACGCTGCCGTGCCCTCTGCCGCCTTTTATCTAGCAGCAACCTGCGCCCTCCTCGTTCCTAGCTGGCCTTCATCTACCAGTTCCCGGTAGATGAATCAACGGGCCATTCTACGCCCCGTGGTGTCCCCTCACTGGCCTTCATCTAAAAGCTTCACATGGTCCCAGCCTGTAATCCTGAGTTAGCTTAGCTCATCCCGTTTTCTCTACTTTCCCACTTCCGGCCTCGGCCCCGGCCTCAGCCTCCCTTTTTGGGGGGATGTCATTCCTATCAGCATCGGGAATGCTCATCCGAGCTTATCGCGTCAGCTCGATGTCCTTAGCCGGGGCCCGAGCGCCAAAGACTTAACTAACTTTTCTAATCGCTTTCATTCTCATCTGAGTCTCTCCCGATTGAATTACCAAAATAATCTCCATTTGATTAAAAGCGAGAAAATATATAATTAATGAGATATTTTTGTAACTTTCTTTGTATATTGAATTTGATAATTTAATTTGTGCAGGAAGATAATTTACCTTGACAGTATCAGTTTGGATTGTTTCAATATAATGAATATTTACTATTGATGTGTGTAACTGAAATAAAAGTTCTCATATTTTGCACGTCTTAAAAATATTTTAATTTTTCTGTTGTTAAGTGTATAAACATTGTCAATTAATTCATTATTTACTCTTCATTTGTCTAATTTCAGATTCAGATGAAGGATTTCCGTTTCTCTTACAAGTTCAAGATGGCCTGCAAGGAAGACGTTCTGCGCTTGTGTCCCAATATTAAAAAGAAGTGAGAGGAAAATATGCAACTTCACAACTCATAGTAACCATATAGACACATAAATATTGTATTTATCCTGGAAATAACCCTACTTTATGTTTTACTGTAAAGTAGGGCTCCAGCAAATGATTCTATTAATCGATTTTTCTGATGGTTAATCAATTAATTGGACAGGAAATTGTCACGTTCTACAGATTTTTCATTCAACCACTAAAGCCTTTTTACACATGATTAAAATACATTAAAATATGCAAATAAACAAATAATTTAATTCCTTCTTTAAATAAAAAAATAAATGTTTTATTGCCTAAAATGCAACAATCTGAACTGGGTTTAGCTAAAACTGACACTTGAAGAGTTTTGGTTAAAACATATTTACAAACAAAGGCTCTTTTTTTAATCTCTTATCCAAAATGTATTTATTTCTGTTTCAATTTTGGCTTAATTACTGCTCTAAATATGATTTATTTTTTCAGCAAATGGCATTTTTGCAGCCTGTACAGTTCAGTTAACAATTAATCGATTATTAAATCAGTTGCTTAATCACTATTAAGCATTTGAGGCTTATGCTACAGTTTTTCATCCCTCCATGAGCTGCGGCTACTTACACCTGCCCTGTTCATAGTTTTGAAATATGGAGTGTCATTTTATCCAACCTATACTAACATGGCATTCAGATTCTGCTATATATTTAAATAAAAATAAAACATAACACAGAAGCTGATAAAAGCCTTTAATTTGCTTTCCAGAGCATCTTTTAAGCCTCTGTGTTCGTGTCCTTGCAGGGTGGATGTTGTCATTTGTCTCAGCACCACAGTGAGGAACGACACGCTGCAGGAGGTCAGAGAGCAGCGAGTGTCTCTGAAATGTCGCAAGCAGCTGCGGGTGGAGGAGCTGGAGATGGTAAACACCAGAACCGGACAGAACCGGACAGAACCGGACCTGCTGTCACCTTCATTTCTATCCAACCAGACAGGAAGTGTGTGTTCGCAGAGATTCTGCACAATCCCAGCTTCAATCTGTGGATGTTTACAGTTTCATTAGAAGGTTGCAAGCCTGAGCGATGAGCTTAAAATATTAAATCTGTTTATTTTTCATACCAGATCCGATTTCTTTCCAAAAAATGACAGAAAATATTGTCAAAAGTGACTCATTTCAATAATCCATAATGCAAGTTGCACAACAAAATATAAGGGCCAAACTACAAGAAGTTTTGTTTAAATATGAGAATTTAGACACAATTTTAGCAGCATAAAAAGGCAAATTTACCAGAAAAAAAAAAACATTTTAAAATGACAAAAAAAAGTCATTTTAATTAGAAAAAACCCCCGGATAGATCAACGCAGTCTCTGTGATTCTTTCTTCAAATAGACAGTTGTTGCACAATTGTTTCAAAATCCTGTAATTGGTAATAATTACTGATGTGTTAAAAGATTAAGTTTTTCTTTATCTGTAAAAACCAAAGTATAAGATGTTGTGAAGTTATATTTCTCAACATGTTGGGAGTTTTTATAAAATGAATAGACAGACACACACCTGGAGTTTCTTAAAGTTTCATAAAGTTTTTACTAAAAGAAACTGATTTGAAAAATTTTATTTTGTAATTGTGTTATTTAGATGAACTCTTTTTCATTTTGGTCTCTAAAATAATTTTTTTTTAGATCGATCATTTAAGTAATAGATCATTTTTAGATATTAAATGATTGATCAGTTACTTGAGCAGAATTTTTACCAAATACTTTTTTTACTCTTGGTTTTTTACTTTTTGCCTTGAAAAAGTAAAAATGTTAATAATGTAAAATGTAAATAATTAGTTCATTCTGACTCAGTCTGAAGACATTCGGCTGGAACCGGAGCTGTACGAACCCTGCAAGTCCGACATCAGCCGCCTGTGTCCCAACGTGGCGTTTGGGAACGCCCAGGTACCATGTCCAGAACACTGCCTGCCTCTTTGTTTACATGCTTGACCTCTGACCTCTCAGCCATGTCTTCCCAGATGATCGAGTGTCTGAAGGAGCAGAAGAAGCAGCTGAGTCAGCGCTGCCACCAGAGGGTCTTCAAGCTGCAGGAGGTGGAGATGAGCGACCCGGAGCTCGACTACCAGCTCATGAGAGTCTGCAAGCAGATGATCAAGGTGAGCTGAGCGTGGACAGGAAATGACGTCACGATGATGTCAACAGTCAGAGTTGGGCAGTAACTAGTTACATTTACTCAGTTACATTTAATTCAGTAACTTAAAATATATATATTATATACTTATTTAAATTATTGTCATTTTGATCCATCTGATATAATTTGGCCAACCAGCTTTTCATAACATCGACCCAAAATGTTTCACAATAACCTGAATAACAATTTAAAAAAAAACAATAAATAAATCTTTACATCATTTTCTGTCAGCTGTGTTAATTGCTGACTGAACAAATTTAATGTTATTAAACTTAAACATATTTATAAAATTTAACAAAACTCTACTGTTCTGGCGTGGCCGCCATCTTTGATTCTTGTCTTAACGGCTCTGCTAACGAAGATGACCAGCGGCGCCCTCTGCTGCATGGCAGCCAAACTACAACACTGAAAGAGTGTTAAGGGGACGTTATTAGTTAATTGATAGGAATTAATTTTGATCTAATATTGACATCTAATCGTAAGGTAATTCATTGTTTGCATTTAGATTTCCTAGAAAAACCTGGAGCTTTGTGGTTACAGTGTGAGAAAAAGTGAAAAAAACTTGAGATCTGTTAGTGTGTCAGTATTTCTGTGGTCCTTCCTGCAGCGTTTCTGCACTGAAGCGGATGCCAGGAACGTCCTGCAGTGCCTGAAGCAGAACAAGAACAGCGAGCTGATGGACCCCAAGTGCAAGCAGATGATCACCAAGAGGCAGATCACCCAGAACACTGGTAAGATCACAGAGAGGATAAGTCAGATTGGAGGACTCTCCGTCTCACTTTTGGCCCTTCTGCAGACTACAGACTGAACCCGGTGCTGAGGAAAGCCTGCCGAGCCGACATCCCCAAGTTCTGCCAATCCATCCTGAACAAAGCCAGCGAGGACAGCGAGCTGGAGGGTCAGATCATCGCCTGCCTCAAACTCAAATACGCCGACCAGGTGTGAGCCCAACTCATCACCTCAACAATGACTCAGTAGAAACAAGTTCACTTGTCTGACTCTGTTATCCTGTGATTCTGACCCGGTTTGGGTCCAGAGGTTGTCTCCAGATTGTGAAGACCAGATCAGGGTGATTCTCCAGGAGTCGGCGCTTGACTACAGATTGGACCCACAGCTGCAGATGCACTGCTCAGACGAGGTCAGACCACAAACTGATGCATAAAAGTTCTTCTAATCACTGCACTGCAAAAACTTTAAAGCATTTTTGGTCTCGTTTCTAATGCAATTGTCTTAGTACATTTGAAATAGGACAAAACTAACATATAGAACTTTTCAGCAAGAAATAGAAGCTTATTTTACGTCAGTGATTTCTTTGTATTGATGTCAGATTATTTCACTTGTAACAAAACATTTTTTCTGTTCTATAAGTGAAATAATCTCCCAGTAGAACCCAAAAGCTTTTCTTTTAATAGACCAAACAGTAGAACTTTATTCAAATATTCTTATATTTGTCATGTATTTCTAATGTGTAAAAAAGTCTTCAGTGGTTAAATGACAAATCAGCTAAATGTGCTTTTAATCAGATTAATTAATTAATCGTCAGAATAATCCATTACTAAAGCAATCATTGGTTGCAGCCCTACTAACATGCACTGTTAAGTACGGTGGAGGACCCGTGATGCCCTGGGTGTCTTGTTATGTTATCAGGAACTCTCTGAAGTGCCAGTAAAGGTGAAACGAAGCAGATTTTCCATGTTTTTCTCTTGCAGATCTCCAGATTGTGCGCGGAGGAGGCGGCTGCTCAGGAGCAAACCGGGCAGGTGGAAGAATGTCTGAAAGGAAACCTGCTGAAGATCAAACAGGAAGCCTGCAAAAAGGTGAACCACCGCAGCAGAGTCCATCTGTCAGAACGTTTCCTAATCAGCCTGATTCACAGGAGGTACTGAACATGCTGAAGGAGAGCAAGGCGGACATTTTTGTCGACCCGGTTCTCCACACGGCCTGCGCCCTGGACCTCAAACACCACTGCGCCGCCATCACGCCCGGCAGGGGGCGACGTGGGTGATTTTTATTCTGTCTTTACGTGCAATGTTCTCCATTTTAATGGAAGCGCCCGTTTCTCGGCTGCAGAGATGTCGTGCCTGATGGAGGCGCTGCAGGACAAGAGGATCCGACTGCAACCCGAGTGCAAGAAGAGACTTCAAGACCGCATCGACATGTGGAGCTACGCCGCCAAGGTAACGGCGCCGCTTTCACACGCGAACCAGAGAGATGAGAAAAGACTGGAGGAGAATCTGATGACGGGACAGCAGAGGTTCACACAGCAGAAACATTTCAAAAGCAGAAACGTGCAGCAGATACAGAGGAAATGAAGCACCAGGAGGGATTGTGCAGACATTTCACATTTTCTGATGTGGCAAAAATAAGCTGAAAAAAATTTGCAACTTTTTGAAAAATTCTGTAAATTTAGGCTGTAAAAAATATCACAACAAACTGGAGGGATTGCTGAGCTGTCCACTGAAATCAGTTTGTAGTTGTTACTTTTAAAAAGTTAAAGCATTTTGGAGACAGAAACATGAATGAGTAATTTATTTATTTACAGACCTGTTGCAATAATCAGTAAATCAATTAATCACATGAAAACGAGCTCAATTTACAGAATTTAGAATTTCAAGTTTTTTCTAGAAAATTGCTGACATTAAAATCAAAATGTTTTTTTAGCAAATTTTTGACATTTCAAACTCACAAATATAAGTTTTTTAAAAATAGCAAATTTCAAAGCTTAACCAAAAAAATTCTGAGTTAAAAAAAATATGACATTTCAAAAAAACATTCTTGAAAATATAAAAAAGGAAATTATTTTCAAATGTATTTCCCTACAAATTTTTGAAGCTCAGAAATTTCAAAAAGGATTTTCTTGAAAATATCTGAAATTAATAACATTTCTGAGGATTTTTTTCTAGCAAATTTTTAACTTTTCAAGCTTTGAGAAATCTCAAAGATTTCCAAGTCCGTTCTAAAAAATATCTTTCTTTTTTTTATAAGCACATTTTTAACTTTTTAAAATATTTTTTTCTTGAAAATCTTTTGGCCAAAATGTACTACTTTTTGCATTTCTTTTTATGTTTCTGCACATTGGCCCTAATACCCTGTGGCCACCTGTTAAAAGGTTGTTGCCGTTTCCCGTGCGGCCTGCAGGTGGCGCCAGCTGAGGGCTTCTCGGACCTGGCGGTGCAGGTGATGACGTCGCCCTCTAAGAACTACATCCTGCTGGTGATGGCGCTTAGCGTGTGCGTCCTGTTCCTGGTGGGGCTGCTGTGCGGCCGCATCACCAAGCGAGTGACCCGGGAGCTGAAGGACCGGTAGAACCGACTGCTCTTCCTCCTACTCCTCTTCCTCCTCCGTCTCCCTCAGCCCCCGCTAACAGTGCCAACGCCTCTTCCCAACCCGCTCTCCTCTGTAGAAAACCAAATGCTTGAGCCTCCGTTTGGACTTCTCTGAACGCCTGGTGTGGCTTTTTGGAGACGAAGCCGCCCCGTTTATTTAAACTCCTCCATGAACGCTGTTGCTGTGACGATGGACTGCTGCTGGGCTGAGGTTCTGGCCCAGTGACGATTTATTTTGGTACTATTATCGCAGCTGCTGCGTAATTCGCGTTTGTTTGAAGCAAATCTCATCGGTTCAGGATCAGAAACGCCGAGCCGGCCTTCATGAACATCACTCCGTTTAATTTAACATTAACTTCACTGCACTTTTTTACTTCAGTGTCTAATTTATTGAGTGTTCTAATGACGGCGTATTAGGGCCATTTTACGTACGAAAAAAGGAATACATCTCTGCAAAAAAAAGTACATTTTGAAATTAAGCTCAGAAAATTTTCAGAAAAATTCTTAGTCTCAAAAGTTTACTTTTCTTTTAATTGATATTTGAAATTCAGAAAATGTTCATATTTTGTTAAAAAAATTCACTTTTGGAAAGTTGGAAAGATATTTCCTTGTTTTTTTCTTGAGAATTGATCTCAAAATTTCTGTTTCTTCTAGCAAATTTTCAACTTTTGAATCTCAAATATTCCAAAGTCAAACATTTCCAACTTTGAAACTCAGAAATTACCATTTTTCTTCTACAACATTTCTGAGATTCAGCTCAAAATTTGAGATTTTTTCTTGCAAATGTTCAATTTTCAAAATTTACTAGTGTACACTGTTCAACTTTTGAATTTTTATGGGTTTTTTACGAGAAAATTTCAGAGCTCAATTTCAAACTAAAATGGCCTTAGTACATATATTCTGATGTTGCACTTTTCTTTGAGAGTGTGGAAATATTTCTTCTGGCCATATGGAAGAACAAAAGTGGAATAACTGAAGCGAACCAAAAATTAGATTGAAATGTTTTGATTTTCACCATAAAAAAACCTGTTAGCCTTCTAATTAGCTTAATTAACCATTTTATGATATAAAAACAGCCTGGAACTGGGGATTGTAATAAAAATGTAAAAATCAAATGTTTAATATGCTTTAATCTAAATTCTTGTAGCTAATATTTGCAGATTTTTTACATTAATTTCTCTGAGGGATTAGGTGGATGTGTAGCATGTAAGCTGGTCTATATTCTCAGAGGGAAGCTAGCTGGAAGCTAATGCTTAATCAGTTTTTTATTTTCAGCTTGTACAGATTAAATGGTGAGCAGTTTTTTTTAATATGCCATGTACTATGGAGAACAGATTTATTATTGTGACGTTTTATTTTGCTGTACAGATTGAAGTTGTCAATTTAATAAAAAAATGTCTGCAGTTTTCAAATATTTGCCTCAAATATCTTGTATGATTAGTGAAATTGTTAGTGTGTCTAGAGCGTTCGACTCTGTTGTAGATGTAAAACAAAGAGTTCAGCCAAAAACAAATCAGAAATTTGGAGATTAATCTGAGAATCTTTATTTAGAAAAAAGATTCTAAATAATAAAATGCTGCATTTTAGGCAATAAAATGTTAATTTTCTAATTTATTATATGTATTTTTTTAAGTATTTCTAATATTGCATAACAAACTTAAGTGATAAAATAATATCTGCAGAAAGGGCCCAACTTCATATCCAGAATAATCCTGGATGCAACACAAATTTGCATCTCAACAGGAGGCGCTGTGGAATTATAACTGCAACAAATGCCAGAGAGACGCGAGAAAAACTCCATTAAAACTGGTCTGAAACACAAATAATTACAATTTCTCAGTGTGTGAAATTACTCGGTGACTCATAACTAATTAAAAGCTCCTGAAATTACAGAATCAGACATGAATAAATAAAAGATCAGCTTCAGACATTAAAACACAAGTAAAATAGTCTGGACTTTTTTATCAAAATTAAGGATTTACTGACTTAAAATTTCCATCAACTTAAATAGAAGAAATCAAAGTAGAACAGGGATGTCCAAACTGAGGTCCATGGGCCATTTATGGTGTTATGAAGGATTTTGGGTGGCCACCCATTACCTGCTATCATAATTAGTTAATGAAGATGGATGCTTTTTCACATTTTAGGGAATTAGTTTTTTTTACAGATACATATAATACATTTATATTAATATAACTTTTCTAAAATGTTATATTAAAATTGTAATATTAAACATTACAATTTTTGCATTCGTCTTAATTTTGGAGCAACTAGAACCACCAATATTGACCCAATTTTAATCAAATACATTTTTATATTTCATCTACAATTTTTAAATCCTTATTCTACCAAAAAAAAAGTATATTGTTGATTTTACTATTTAAAAAAAGGCACCCAAATTTTTTTGCCATAGGAGTCAAAATCTGAGTGAATAAAAATAACTGCCACACTTTGCAAATATTTAGCAGTATAAAGTCAAAATGCTGAATCCTTATTTGTCAAATTCACATCTATGAATCACTGTGTTTCTGTGTCACATAAAATGCAGTGAAGATACTTAAACGTTTGAGATGAAAATGTCAAAAACAAACTTTTGGCAATAAGAGTCTGAAAAGTTTCGTGTTGTTTATTTCTCCCACTTGAAGCTGTACATGCTACAGGTGCGTTTAAATCTCTTATTATTAGCATTTAAACATTTATGCAGGTTAGCTGTAGCTACGCTCGGATCAGCAGGATGGAGAAAACTCCTCAGAAACAAACAAGAACTTAAACAAGAAAACCAAACCCCAAGAACAACTATAGCAAAATCTCAACTCATTTCATGTGACTGAGGTCAAACTGTTGTTTTCACAGCCAAACAGACTTTAGAAAGAAACTGGAAGAGTTAAAAGAAAATAAACAATATAAAAAAATCTAACAAAGAAGTGGCAACAATTTATATAGAATATAAACAAATTTCTATTGTTATAATTCTTCTTTTAAAAAACAAAGAAAATGTTGCATCCAAAAATCAGAATAACCCAAAAAGCTAAAAATAAGTCTAATTTATGTTCAGGAGTCCAAATAATGTTTTTTCTTCTTCTGTCCGTTCAACAGCAGAGCAGCGGAAATATAAAGATGCAATTCTTTGGCCAAACCGAAGGGCGGCGCTGTTTGTTTACAGGATGTAGTTCCACAGTCTAACACAAGGGCGGTGCTGGACATTTACAGTTTGGTAGGTCAGAGTAACAAAAAACCTGTGCCACGTATTTACCGTACATTTTAAAAAATATATAAAACAAGGAGCGGTGTTGTGGATTTATAGGATGTAGTTTCACAAGTCAACCAGCAGGGGGGCGACTCACATTTCTGGCCTCTTCATCTAAGGCACTGACACTCTGTAGTTTGGCTTTTCATTTAGAAGGAAATTCTTAGGTTTTTATTTTTAAATGGGGTTATGTGAGCTAGTTATCAGTAATCAATATCTTACATTTTATAGGTATCAGAAATGTTCATGTTTTAAGACTTTTTAAATCTAAAAAGAAGGTCAAGCAAACAGCTGGACCTTAGAGTTCAGGTATTTAACCAACAAGTAACATTTCCAGCAAATGCTTCATCATAGTTAGCATGGTGCGTTTTATTTTTCTATTTACATAAAGTTTTATCTCAATTCTCTAAATCAAAATTGTTCTGGCTTCAACCTTTTGTAAGCAAAAATACTGACTGATAAACTTGTTACAAATGTAAAAAAATTATTTTTCCTTTCAAAAGATATTGAACATGCAGTACCACTGATGGCCACCAGGCGCTGGATTCAGAAAAACTTTGGCTAACTTTGGAAAGAAACATACACAGACATGTTGAGCATGTGAGGAAATGGGAACATTTGCTAATTAAAGCTTCTCACACAATTTTGCAGTTAGCAGAGATGCTTAACAATTTTTTAAGCTAAGCTAATTAGCCTTAAGCCTTGATTTATCCTTTCTTCTAAATTGGTAGAAATGATCCAATATGACGAAACGGAAAAGAAAAATCCAGTTTTGATGCGTCTCTTGCTGATTTATTATCCTCTTTTGCGTGTTTAATGATCCGATCAGAAACTCGTGGTTTTCCTGCTAGCGTTGAAGGACTCTGCTGACAGATATTGTAGTTCTGTCCTCCTCTTTCCGATGAGAAAAACAGACTTTAAGAACCGCAGGGCTCGGGTCAGGACGGAAAGCCTCCACTTGTTCCTAACGGGTCATGTGCAGCTTTCTGATTGGCTCAGTTGACCAGAGGGGGCGGGACCATCAAGAAGCGATGACCTGGACGTAGTTGGCGGGATAAAGGCCCACCTGGCCGCTCCTCAGCCGTCCTTTACACCAGCCCTGCTCGTCTTCCTCACCCAGCTTCATCAGCTCGTCGCCTGAAGGAAAAGAAAAGAATGAGACGTTTTGGGGTGTCCTGTCACTTTAAATCCAAATAAGCTCAACAAACTCAACGTTTACACTCGTATGTGAAAATGTTTCAAACAGATGCACAATTATACAGCCATACATCTTTGAAAAGTAGAAGTGGAGCATCCTGCATAGCCAACAAGAGGTTTCCGGGTGGCAAGTCCACAATAAAACAATTTGTCTCTTCCAGCAGCCATTGTAACGCACATAAAGCAGCAAAAGCAGCTGACCAAAACTGAAACGGCTCTTTTTCCAGACACCAAAAAAACGTTAACTCTTTGACGATTTTTGAGAAATTCATCTTTAGATTAGTCTCTGTGGTAAAAAGTCTGTTAGTTTGGGTTCATACCTGCTTTAAAGCTGAGCTCGTCGGCCTCCTGGCCCGCGTAATCATACAGCGCTCTCACCGCCACGCCCTCCGCCTGCTCCTCCTCCTCTTTGTCCTCCGCTTCCCTGACGCCGTTCACCGCCAAAACCTTCTTGGGACTCTCCTCGTCTGACCAGTCCGACGAGTAATCCTTCACCCTGGATGGGACCGAGACACAAAAACTACAAACGTCAAGCAGAGAACCCATGAAAAACTCCAGATCCAGAGTTTACCTGCAGCACTGAAGCTGCAACACAAACTTCCTGCCAAAAAATAAAAACCACAAGTTTTAAAGGCTCAGATGTGGAAACTGAAATGAGGCCAAAATCAATTAAATAGTTTACATTTTACTCTACATGAGTTAAAATGTTCTAAAAATTATGATTAAATGTTATAAAAATCAATTGTTCCAACAATTAACCAGGTTTTAGAAACTGGCACATTCTGCAAGATTTTCCCATTTAACCTAATTTATTTAATAACAGAATGTCACTAAAGGATACAAATCTGGTTATTCTGACTCATGCAGGGCCGGCTCAAGACTTTTTGGGGACCAAAGCAGATTTTTATTTAGCATGCACTGTACAAGTTCGCCAACGTGATTAATAACGATTACTCACAGCATTAAAGTGATTAATCTGATTAAATTTTGTAATAGACTGACAGCACGATTCTCCCAACATTCAGAGCTCTTAAATTTGACACGGCGCATATCTGACTTGTATCTTCATCCTGAAACAGCGAGAGGGCAGAACATGGACACAGATTCTCATTAGACGCCGTTTTGTTGGTTTACAAACCTCCAGGGAAGCCGGGAGGTTTAACAGGCGCAGGCTCTCTCACACGCCCTCAGGACGCTCAGGGATAATTGTAGTCTCTGTTCACGTCTGGACTGAACAGCCCACAGAAACGCGTCGTTTCAAAACTTTACACAACGACAACAGCAGCGGCTACAACCGACTCTTAAATCCAACTGGGAGGATGTAAAGCTGAGCTCCTTAAAACGAAGTGGGAAAACTCCCAGTTTGGATCAGTTTTAACCGGCAGTTTATTAGCAAACAGTGAATCAAATCCAACCTCAGACTGATTCACACCTTCCTGGAGATCAGCAGCTCTAACTGCGCCGTCTGCAGCAGAGAGAGAAATCCACTGCAGAGACGTCCTGCAATCCAACATGTTGAGGAAACCTGGGCAACTAAACCTTCACTCAATTCACAAAACCTACAATCTCATTAGGATGGAAACGATTAATCAGCCCAACTTATTCAACGATCAGACTCAAAAAAGGCCATTTTCTGTCAGTTTCAATTCCTGTAAAACTAATAAAATATTCTCATTCAAGATAAAAAACATTATTGTTTGTAAATATTTTGTACCCAGAACTCGAGTTTCATCTTGACCCGGTTCACATTCTGTAAAAAACATATTTTTCTATTTAATTATTAAAATGTTAATAAATTATTAATCCAAATAATAATCAGCAGATCAGTGCTGCACCGTTTATTCAGGCTAAATGGGCTGAACTTCTCATATTTACAAGCTTCACATGCATCATTTCCTATAAACGATTCAGGGTTTTCTAAACAAATGCATTTCATTTTAGGCAATAAAATATTTCTTACTTAAAAACGA